TGTTTGTTTTACGAGTTGAGTCTATTTGCAGTTGTACTAGTTGGCCATATCGATAAGCTTCCGTTTTTTGTCAGCCAACTTCATTAGAGGAAGGCGAGTAAAGTTTTTGAAAGTTCAACTTGAAGTCATCCATTGAGCTCCAAGTGATTTGTGGCAACTATCTGTTCTGATTGAAGTTTTTTTTTGGGAGAGTGGGTTTTGGTAAGACGGCGCCATGTCATATGAAATTGTGTCTTACTCTTGCATTCGTTTCAATGAAGTTCTAGTAGTTTAAAATAAACACGATTCTTCATAATATAATTTTGTTTGCAAATGATTTCAAATTGTCCAATATTAAATAATTTGGTTAATATTATTCCGCATGATTTATGAGCAACATAAAATATTGCTTTATATTTAAATAAATGTTGCTTTAATTACATGTTATATAACATGCAGTTGCTTATGCAAACAACTAATGCCTGATTGCTGACCTATACAAATAGGTGCTTAAAATGATTTATCATTAGCAACAGTTGAAATAACTAATTCGGCCAGTTTTAGCAATCTCAGTTGAAATTTTGGCATTTTGCTAACAAATATGTTTGGCCATGTTCGGTCGAGTTTATTTGATTTTTGTTGTGAAGCTCGAAAAATGTGGTCCGCTTATGGCCAAAAACGCATTCAACTGTGAGTGTCATGAGGCAAATGCAATTTGCGCAGATGCAATTGCAACAGTAGCAGCAACAGCAGCCACAGGAAAAACTAGTGACATCCTTCTCGTATGGCATTACCTTGTTTGTGTGCATATAGTTGATCTGGTTTAGTGTGTGTGTGTGTGTGTGTGTGTATGTATATGTGTGTGGCAGGTCTCATCATTGGACCAGCGTCACATGCATCAAACAAATTCGATAGCGTTGCTTTCTGTCTACTGGCCAAGTCGGCTGCCGCATAATAAGCGTAAACGTTGGCTAACAAGATTCATGCAACGCTTTTGTGCCCGCAGGCAAACATGCAATGGCCATCAACGTGTCCTGTCCTATCCACTCTCAGTTCCACATATCCCTCGCTCAACTCCCACAATGACGACGCGACCGAATGCCAAATGGCGAACGGAGCGCGCTTAATGCAACTTTGTTGCTCGGGTTCCTGCTGCTACTGCTGCTGCTGATGTTGTCAGCTTGGCAGGGGCAGTAGGCAGCGATTGAAAAATCCCACTTGGGCGTTTTTAATTGGATTTTAAAATACTTGTCCCATGCAGGCTGGCAGGCAGGCAGGCAGGAAGGCAGTCCAGCAGCCAGGCAGAGGCCATCGCAATGACCAAGCCATAACACAAGCATCAGCCTCAGTTCTCTCTTTCTCTCTCTCTCCCTCTCAGCTGAATGCTGAACTGACCAGCCAACCAACCAACCCAACAACATATCGACCAGCAGACGATGGTCAGCAGTCAGGGGCTCAACACGCTCGTTATCCTTGTTTCCTGATGCTGCTGCTGCTGCTGCTACTGTTGCTGCTGCTGTTGTTGCTGCTGATGTTTTTGTTGCTGTTGTGCACAATTTGGTTACGTGTTTGACCTGCGGCGATTTTTCATTGCATGGCCGGTTTATTTTTTCAAGGGGGAGTCCATACATTAATGGCATTGCGAAATTTGTATTGCAAATGTCACTAAGGGTCTTCTGGCCGTTGAATCCCTGCCATAAATATAATCACATGTGTTTTTGTTGCCGAAATCCCACCGAGCTTCATTGCGGTGCTCCCCTGTGAAAAATGGCTTAAGAGAAGCAAACAAAATGTTCATCTTATTTTTATGATTTTATAGAGAGAATGAAGAGTTGACTTTCATTAGAAGAAGGCAAGAAAATCGTGTTGTTTTTAATGAAATATATAATTGCTAGTCTCAAATTTTTTATTAATATGATAAGAATATTCAAATTGAACAATTTTAACATGCATTTAACCAAGTAGTATAGTAATATATATAAGTGTTAAAACATAAATGCAGTATTAATCTAGAGCCAAAAAAGTAGGTTTCCTTTCGCACTTATCCATTAATAATTTATATAATTTATTAAGGGAGTAATATTTGTTATCCCCAGCCGTGGAATTCTAAGTTTAACTAATGCTGTTTGACTTTGGTTACCTAAAATTATGTTTATATTAACAAACGCTGGGCTAGGGAGTCAACTTGCATACCAAACAAAAGCTAGATAATTCTGTTGCCAAGTAAATCGAGGCTGAGTTTGTAATTGGTCATTACTGCTCAGCAAAGTTTAATTTTAATGAGAGCCTGCAAGTCCTGCATTATCATTATCATTAGCATATTTGATTAAAAAGTGTCATTAGATGCGAGCTGAGTACTCACAGTTGAGACAGTTGGCTGCATCATTTCACGCTTCAACGGAAGTTGGATAAGAAAACCTGTCGCTAAAAAACTTGTCGGCAATGCACACATTTTAATTTCAACTAATTGCCAAGCCAAGGGAAACCAGTACCAGAAACAGCACCTACACCAGTAGCTGGTATAATCAAAGAACCATTTCAGTTTTAGCTGCAGCTACAACTTGTCGACGCTTAAGTAATTAAAGCGTGCACTTCGTTAGCTTTAAGGGCAAGTGTCCTGCGAAGTATGTCCTGCAACTGGTGCCCAGTCCTCACGCCGCCTAATTGTGACAAGTGTCCGACGCAGTACTTGATTTGTATGTAAATTAAATTCAATGTCTTTACATCAAAGAAAAGTGGACTATTTGCCTGTCTGCATTACCTCTTTGGCTGACTAATTTACTTTTAATCATTATAATGACTTGAAGTTCGACAAATTAGCCTTAATGCGAGAGTTAGTGCGTCAGCAAAGACAAATGACTTCCAGCAAAGGTAAACAATCAGATATGTCTATAAAAAAGGCGAGCTAAATAAGTGAAAGTCAATGTTCTGGCAAGAATATTAGCTGGTTTTATTCATAATGAATGGTAAAGTACTTAAGGTGATGGCTAATCAATTAAAAAGCTGAAGAACTGTTTATGTATGGCCCTTGCTTAAAGTTAACATTACGGAGAAAATACTTGTAAATTAAGTACATATATTAAACATTGTCCAAGTAATTGCAGCTGCTCTTAAAGACATATATATTCTTACAGAAAAACACACAATTAAACAAGGTGTTCTAAGATTTCATAACTCAAAAAGTCCACAGGCCCTAAAGCAAATATTTTTCTTGTTGCAAGTTATGACAAGAAAAATAAATTTCACATAAACAAAAGCGACCAAAAAATGGAAAAGAAATAAAAACGGAAAAGAAAAGAAAGCAGCATCCTACACAAATTATAAACAAAAGTAACAAAAAACGTATAAAAAGTACACAAAATCAACTTTGATTTAAGTTTACAAAAATGTTTAGCAATTGCTTTGCTTTTTTAGCTTTTGTTGTTTTTTGTGCTGTGCCTGGCATTCACAATTTTTTGTATATATTTTTTTCACTCTGTTGATCTCTTTCTCTACGTCGTACTGTTGTGGATTAACAGGCAACAAAATATTTTATTTTTTATTGTTTAGCAACGCTGATTTCCAACCCACCCCGGGCATTCCCGTACCCTTGCGCCAGCTGCCAGCACCACCCTGTGGGTCCGTCCAACTGTTGTCTGTGCGGCGCAGGATTTTGTTGTCACTTCAACACACATACAAACAAACACAAAACATAAAATAAAAAAACGGCTGCGTAACAAAAATCCACTTGAATTTTGTACACTTTATTTTTTGTACATTTGCAACACGAAGGAAAATAAATATAAAAATCCTGAGACTGTTTGCACGCGAAATTTGCGCTTGTCTGCCTTACGGCTTGTCAGCTCGCATGTTGCATGGTTTTAGGCGGGATTTGTTGCGCGCTCTCACTGCATACAACATGGCCCAGCTCCAACCCCAGTCCCTACCCCTGCCACTGCCCCCGCCCCTCACTAGGTCATTGGCAACTACAAAGGCGGCAGCAACAGCCGGAGCCGCAATTTAGATACCGTTGCCAGTTGTTAGGCAGGAGGGGAGGCCACTGCCTGCTGCCAATGGGGGATGTATATTTTTGTTTTTGCTTTTATTTGTGATCCGGTTCCCTTCGCTTGAGGGTCTTAATTTTCCACATTGCTGTTGCCTAAGCCACAATAGCCGAGTAAAGGTTAAACTTCACTTTGAGATCAACTCCAAACTCCCTAATTAATTCCTTAGTATGCTGGAAGTGTATATTTTTAAATGCTACATGAATGCACTCATCTATAAAATGTACGAAACTAGAATCACGTTATTTAAAAATTTAAATTCTCGCACTGCCCACCTTTAAATCTTTTCGCATTCAATTAAACAGCATTCTATAAAACAAAAACCTTCATTTACAGCGCACATTTTTCTGTTATTTTTCACGGATTTTTTATTTTTTTTAAACATTTTTGTGGTTATTGCCTGTGTATTAAATTAGCATAAATGATTTTTAATAATTATGCTCATGAAGCACCGATGATGCGCCATGGCTCTGGCATGGCCACGCCCATTTGGCATCGCCCCCAAGCAGCTGGCACACAAATTACAAAATAATGAGCGCCAAGTGCAATGTATTTTTGGTTTGAATTTTACATTCACCGTCCGGCCGACTATTATTTTTATATAATGGGCCCTGATGGGCGCTGATGTTGATACTTGGATGCTGGGATGATGGGACGATGGGATGTTTGGATGATGATGATTGTGCTCCATATTGGCTTTGCATGGTAGAGAGCACCGAGCGATTCTTGTGCGATGGCAAAAATGTTTTTTAATTGCACTTACAATTTTATTTAAATGCGCTGCACATATGTCGAAATGTGGCAATGATTTCAAATGGCTCTTGCCATTCTTTGAACACTTACATTGTATAGTAATACAGCTTTAGAGTTTTCACTCCACTTGACGGACTTACGTTTTAAATTGTTGTGCAATAATTGAAATATTTCAAAAATATTACATAAATACTGATAATAATATAACATTCGTTTTTTTTCCAGGCTGCGCTTTCGTTAAATTTGGTTCCCAACAGGAGGCTCAATCAGCAATAACCAATTTACACGGAAGTCAAACAATGCCGGTAAGTGCTTTTAATTTATAAATACTTAATGATATACATATACAAGGGTACCTGCCATCTTCGGAAATGCCTGTTCAAATTATCGGCAAGTACAACTTCTTAAGCCCCCACGTCAATTCAAACAAATTAATAGTATAGTTCGCATTGAAGCTTGTCATATAATACCCGTATAATTCCAATTAAACTGACGTGTTTCCCTCGCAACAACAATTGAATTTGAATTGGAATTTGAGTTTGAGTTTGAGTTGGAAATTGAAGTTGACGTCGATGTTGAAGTTGTCGGCTTGCTGTCAACTCTCACGCTGCTTTGTATGTTGCTGGCATGTTGTCCAACTTACGGTACTGCCTGTTTCTTATTCAGCTATTTGTTGTTGGTGTCATTGTTGTTGTTGTTCTGTGAAAAAGTACTTAGCGAACTTCATTTAAGCTTCAAGTGGCGAGAGGCCCAACTTGGCTCTGCCCTCGTTTTCAGAATAAATTCGAATAAAATTAAATAGCGAGCTGAAATTATTATTATTATTTTTATTATTATATTTCACTTGTATGTCACTTCAATGGAAAATCAAGAACAGCATACTCTGCTCTAATTTTCTAAAAAAAAAAAAAAAAAAGAAAAAACCAAAAATAAAAATAAATAAATATACAAATCACAGCATCAAATTGTTTGACAACAACCGAGAAGCTGGCTGAAGGTTTACTTCTTACATTCTTTGTGCAACGATTTTGTTCCGACGACTGACTTCATTATACAGACATTTTGTAAGAAAATACCATATAACTACATATATATACATGTATATATTTAAATGTGCATATATGTATGTGGATGTGCGCTCTATGACAACGTTCCTCCTGCTGCTGCTGCTGCCTTGGCCTCATCGCGGTTCGGGAATTATTTTTTCTTGTGCGAAAATAAATGAAATTTGCATGACACTTGAGTTATTTTGCACGTAAATTGCTTCTTTTGACAAACAACACAAGCAAATACACAAAACCAGCCAACGAGTGAAGGAGAACGCCGAGGCAGGGAGGATTAAAGCAAACTGAAATGGTTGCCATTGTTGTATTTTTGGTGTTTACATCAGTGCAGCGAACGGTTCGTTTCCAAGTCAACTCTCTGTGCGAGTGCAGAGTGAGTACTGTTCGAGTATCCTAGCCGCTGATGCTCCTCGTTCTCCTCCTCTTCCTCCTGCTGCAAGTTCTGACTGCCTGCCTGCCTGCCTGCCTGCCTGCCTGCTTTATTTACCACTCAGATTGTTGTTGGCTCTACGAAAGGCGAAGGCGAATTTTACATTTTCGGTTTCTGTGCCTGTATGTGTGTGTTAGTGTGTGTGTGTGTGTGTGTGTGTGTGTGTTCTTATGTGTTTGCAGTCGCGTTGCCCAACTCGTTGTCGCATTTAAATTCAAATTCAAATATTGTTGATGAAATTTGTTGCTTAATTTGCAATTTAGATGCGTTTTTAAACAAACGCCCCCCAAAACCCTCTCCCATCTCACTCTCTCTCTCTCTCTCTTGGCAAAATCATGTGTTTACTTAGGCGGAACTTCTTGACGATGCTGTTGTTGTTGCTGCTGCTGATGATGATGATGATGATGATGGCGCCGTTTCGTAATTACAGCTGCCTGACGCCATCGCCTCGCCTGGTTGAAAGGGGGAATAGCAAAATCAATGCAACAAAGCCTTAGGACAAACACATTTTTTACAATAACACAACTTTCAGTTATCAGGCAGCTCTCAACCCCACATCAAATGGGGACTTCAGGCAATACGATGAGCACTCGCAATGGATGGGTATAAAACTTCAAAAACATAGCCGCAAGTGAGGCGCAACTACGACCCAAAACAAATAAAACCGGATACAAGCGGCAATACTCAAATACAAAACCCAAATATAAATCCAAATCCAATCCAAATCAGGCAAACAGTTGGCCCCGGCTTAAGTCAATTTTCCATTTTTAACGTGAATCGTCACATTTTACAGCTGATTGCAGTCAATGTTCAGAAAATCAAAGCAGAGCCCGAGGTGCTCTTTTGTGGGTTTTTGGGTGTGTGCTGTGGAAGTTTAAAATCATTGAAAGCCTTAAGTAGGTAGCAAACCCACCTAAATATGTTTTTCTAATAAAATGCCAGATTTATGCGGACTTACGTCGGCTGTTTCCCAAACAAAGTGCTTTTAAGAACAACAACTGTAGTTATGTTTTCTTTTCAATATAGTATATAGAAAACTAGGAATATATTATACAAGTTTTCTTAGCTCATGGTTGGTATCTAGATGTTTGTCCTTTAACTGAGCTTGGCCTTTTCTAATGCGAGCGTTCTCTACTGACATACTCTTCTCAATGTTGCCAAGCTTTTTGGTGCTTTGCTCACTTGTTTTTTTTTTAACAAATTCCAGTAGTAGTTAATTTCAAACCAAATTTCAAATACACTGTAACCTTGATGCTTTCCCTTAAGAAGATGCTGTAGTTTTTTGTTATAAATGAGTCATGCACTGTTGCAGACCTGCAATCAACTGCACTTCACTATGAATGATGCCCAACAAGCAACTACCGAGGGCTGACAGGTCTGACCTGCCACGCCCTCCCGCCAGCCCACTCCCACACCCTAGTCGACGCCCACGGGCCGTGCACCCTAATGTCTGAGCTAACAACGACAGCTGCAATTTTTCACCTGGGCAATTTTTAAGATGAGCAGCATCGGGAGCAGAAAGAACGCCCTCCAAAGACGAATACGGCAAGTTTCCACCTAGCGGAAAAAAAAATGCGAAGAGGTTGAAGAGCAAGAAAATGAGTAGAGCAATTTCTATGTTTTTTTTTTTTTTTTTAGTTTTAAGAGCGCGTAATTTTTTTTTTTTTTTTTGCTGTGTTCCTTTTTTTAAGCTGCCTGCGCATTAAGCATTTTAATGTCAGTTAGGCAGGGCTGGGAGGGTGATAGGGGCGGTGCGGCTTCCAAGTTGGCAGTTGTAATTGCAATTTGGCATTACGACTCTGGTCCGGGTAGCCAGGTAATTAGCGCAAAACGACGCGGCAGCTGTTGTATAAAAATTTTAGTAGCTTGCACAAAAGTATGCTATATTTCTGCTCCTGCATATATTAATTATACACCGGGCCGGAGCCAAATTGCTAAGTGCAACAACAGCAGCAGCGGACGAACAAAAAATTGATTGCCTACCTGCAGGCGTCAAAGTTGCCACAGCAACGTCAACAGCAGCAGCAGCAGCAGCAGCAGCAGCGGCAGACGAACCACAAGTTAATTTCAAGCTTAACAAAGTTTTTTTTCGGGTCTTCCCCGCTATTCCGCCTCTCATGTATCTCATCTCATCAGTGCGCTGCCTGGCTCGGCTCTACTCTGCTCTGGCTTCGACGGACAGGCTTGGCTCCCTCATGTTGATGTACCACAAAAAGCTTTTAAAAAATTTTTGATTACGCCAAACCTTAAGCAGCTTACGGACGCCACGCCCCTGATGCCGCCCCCTCCCCGGCCGGACATTTGAAACCAGCACTCATTAAAAAGGAATTTACAGTCCGTCTACTATGACCAAAATCGCCTTTTGCAGTCGGCCAGACTGGACAATTTCTATTTGGCACCACCCTAACATGGATTCGGTTCGCTGTTAATCCTCTGGCACTCAACATGTTATAAGTCGCTTTTAGTGCGGTTTGAAAGCGTTTTCTAAACAGAAGCCTCACATAAAAAAATATATACAAATCTTTCGCATAGGCGAAGCTTGCTTACCCTACGATTGAACTTACCACAACCCTTTTTAAATCGCTGATAAACCAGTTAGGTCTAGTTTAGGAGTGATTTTTGTAAGCTAGTTTGCTAAGTTTTGATAATTATATAAAGTAATAATAATTACTAATATCAATATTTGCATATATTTAGTGTGAGTAATTAACTATAAATATGCCTTAAGTTAGAAGTTACTTAATTAAGATCTATAATTAAAATGTTCTAGTTAAAAGCAAATTTATAGGTAGAGTATTACTTACTACCTAACATAGATATGTTAGAGAGCTCGTTGTTGTCGCATATACCCTGATATTCTGTAGGGTATTAAAAAGTTTACAGTTGTAAACAATAATTTCGTATTCACTCAACACAACATTCGCTTTTTTTCCACACATTTGCATAAGCCGCTAACGCGATTTTTTTCGCCCCCTAGGTGTGTGTATATGTGTGTGTGAGAGTGTTGTTGTATGCTGTGTGTAAATGCGGCTTAGAAGAGCAGGCGATGGGCGTGGTTGGGCTGCTTGTTAATGAAAGCGCGCGCATGCATTAAAGCTGTGCTTCAAATGCTTTTGATTGGCGAAGCGCAAAAGCGCCCAGCAAAAGTACAAATGGCCAACAGCAGCTGCAAAGCAATCCAAGCAACTGCCTGACCAGGAATGTGGAGTGCCAACTGCTGCCAAATATATAAATAAATATATTTTAAATTACAGTCAAAGTGACACAAAAACTTCGAGCGAAAAGCCCGCATATTGGCAACACGAACCAAACGCCGAATAAATTAGGTAATTAGCATTTTTTCGCTGCTTCCCTATGTAATTTATTTTTTTTTTATATATTTTATTTCATCTCTGCTGGGTAGTAATTGTTTGCGTTGCAAATGGGTTGACTTTTGCTTAGAAAATTTGCATTTGCCAGCTTTATTAAGAGTCAACCAACTAGCTGTTTACTTGGCTAACGCAGGAAAACAAAAATAAAGCCCTCAAATTACTCAAAGGTGAAAGTAGCAGCAAAGTGCGCGGAAATGCGAGTCCACTAAGCTTCAAAGAACATCAAAAGCAATGCAAAACTTTGCCAAGATTATTCCAAATTAATAAGCTCGGATATGCGAGACAGGGATAAGAGTTGGGGTAAAGTGCCTAATTAGGCATCCATTTACAAGGCAACAAAAACACGAGACTTAAGTAGATATAAAGCAAATATTATTCAAGTCAACAAAGTATTATGCAAATATACTCGTCAGCGCTTCGCTATAATGGGAACTATAATC